TGAAAACAATTGAAAAACTTTAAAAGTTTTGTGGTAATTCTACACACCCACACCCACGCCCCTCTTCTATTGTAGTATATTCTTGCTATCAACAATGTCAACAAGTAATAGTTCCAATCATAATGATGACTCGTTTGGCAATTCGGAAATTTCTCTACCGCGCCCAGTTCGGTTTTGGCTTATGCTTCTATTTAATGTTCCATCGGTTATCTGCAGTTTCAGTCTCCTTATTTATATCATGATGAATCGAAATCGACGATATGCATTGCATAACCACGCTATCTTTCTTATATTGCTATTTAATTTGCCAGTTCAACTCATTGACATCAATTTTCATCTTGTTTTTCTTCATTATGGTTCTGTACAACCATCTCAACCTATTATATGCCTTCTCTGGTGGTTAAATGATTATGGATTCTATATTAGAGGTATCATTTTGATGACATGGCTGGCTATCGAACGACACATTTTAGTATTTCATGATGGATGGATTGCGAATTTCACAGAACGTTTTTTTCTTCATTATCTTCCTTTAATTATTATAGTCACATATGTTCTACTCTTCTATATTATTGTCATTTTCTTTCTAAATTGTGAAAATACCTATGATTATATACTGCCAATATGCAACGCATCACCGTGTTATCAAACCTATGGTATTCTGGGTATGTGGGAATTTATTGTCAATACTAGTACACCAATTCTTCTTGAAGGTCTTGCTAGTATCTTATTTATTATACGTGTTAAATGGCAAAAACGACGTCTTCAACGTTCCTCTAACTGGCGCAAACAACGTCGACTTACAATTCAGCTATTATTAATGTCAAGCTTAAATTTAGCTTTCAATCTACCTATCTATCTTATTCCACTTGCTCATCTGTGTGGCCTCCCACCAGAATATGGTATTCAACCTGAACTTTATTTCTTTTTTCTGGGTTATTTTGTTATTTTTCTATTTCCATTCATATGCTTAAGCCAGTATCCTGAATTGCGTAAAAACATCAAACAGAAAATATTACGTATGATTCCACGAGATCGACATCTAACAGCGACTGTTGCACCTACATTGATGATTACACGAATGAAAAATTTCGCATGATACTACTATCCATTTCAAAATAGAAGGCGAGTGATTGTAAGATGAATAACTCACGAACGCGATGAGATATTGTGAAACGGTTTTCGCCAGCTTATAGACGAGTCTGAGGGACGTCGATCTATGAAAGAAGAAAATTTTTCGTCCGAGTTTCTAGCTAGTTTTCACGTGAATCTTTGGAAAACTACGATCATTTTTAGGGATCCAACATTAGATTTT